ATAATGTTCTTGGTAACCAAGGTAATACGTCTGGTATGTGGGTTCAATTTAAAGTGCAAAATATTTGGAGCAGTGGTCGGCCCCTCCTTCGTACAAGACAGCAATAATGCCATTGGGGAGGGATTCCGAAAGGACACAGAAGACCTTTGCCTTCATCTCGGAGTACAAGGAACTGGTACGATGGGCTGCCCTCCACGGTAGCAAAGTGGGGGGTAAGAGCGTCTGGCTACTCTCACCACTTAGAACTGACTTTTCACGAACCAGGAGAGAGGGAGAAGCACTAGGAGAATTTTGCTGTACTTCCTCTTTGGCAAAAAAAACCCCGGACACGCTAATATTCTCCAGGAAAGTTTGCTGTGGAAAATGTTTGATTGCAACCACCTTTACTTTAGAAGATAGGAGGAAAGCACACTAGGCATTTGGTGTCTTGAATATCCTGGTGGTTCTTAATATTTCTTTACTACTTGCATGCAGCCGGTACACATATATGTCTGTGGTGGTGGTGGTGGTGGGGGAATGTCACTGTGGTCGCTGACTCATCCTCTTAGCTGGATTCTTTACGTACACCCTGGGGAGTAAATGCAACAGTGACAGAACTCAACACCCGCTGACCCTTATCCCAAACCAAGTTGAGCCATTCTTTTTGTAAGTCGCGGAGTCAACCCCACTTACAGTTTAAGTTCTTTTATCCCAGTGCTGTTGCTTTTGATTTCTGTTTGAGAATCCTTTCTATGCAGAGTTCCGATGTTTCTTTCCATATTTTTAACTATTGTTTTACTCTTTTTTTTTTGTCTTGCTCCCCCCTTCTCTTCCTTTGTTGTTTTTATTGTGTGTGTTCTTGTCTCTTTCTTTACATTCCAGCCGCCCTGGCAAAGCTAGCCCCTCCCGCCCGGAGAGTCCAAAGCCACCATTTGACATGTAACTCTGCTCCCCCCGAGATCCATCCTTTTATCTGCCTCTTAGCTGTTCTGTCCTGGAATGGTCCGACGCACATCTTAAAAACACGGCTTTGTTCTGTCGTACCTTGTGGCTTGCACATATCAGACGTGACTCTAGTGAAACTGGTTTTTTCCTTCCTCCCAGTTGCTTTAACAGAATAAAAATGAGTTATATTGTAGTAATGAGAAACATATCTTTACTGTTATATAAATATCTATAAATATATATATATATATAAAGATCTAAATCTATATGGTGTCCAGAAGTTTTAAAAGCCTTTAATGCTTCTGATGTTGATTTTAGCAAATACTTGATTAGGAAGAGTCTATATACGTACACCTTGTGCACCCAACTGAGACTCGGCAGCAAGCCTGAGGGTAATTCTCTGCTGCATGGAGTTGGGTTATTTCGTTGCCCCCAAATTGTGGGTGAATCTTCGCAGTGCTGGTAGTACCTGTGATGCTGTCTGTGATCTGTCAACTCTTGTTCACTGGCTGAAATAAACTATCATTTCTGTACAATGGAGGACTCCATGACTAGAAATAAAAGTATCTCACTCCGTGCTTCCAGGCTCTTACATTTAATGCTTTTCTGGTACTGTGCCAAGGAATGTTCACATTGTGGATGGCTCGTGCCTCTGAAGTGGTACCAAACAGTACAGAGAGTAAGCAGGAGAAATGGGGGAGGGGGACACACAAAGTCCTGTTTTACACACACACAGAGAGAGGTTCTCCATATGAAGACTTTAAAAAGTGAGGTGTTGTAATCTGCTGAAGCTATTCATAATGACTGCAGCATTGTAACTGAAGTTCTAGAAGTGGGTCCTGGCAGCTTCGAGTCCAAGAAGATCACACTGACCGTTTCTCTCCTCCGATTCTCACCAAAAGGGCACTGGGCAGTCAAGGCGCAATGCAACGATTTTGTGAACTGCTCTCGCTTATGATGAAGCAGATCGCCAAGAGTGGGCCCAGCCAAAATCTTCACTACAAAACACCTTGGGGGCCTTTGACTCAGAGG